TCAGCTGCAGCATCACCACCATCACCGTCACCGCCAATTGTCGTTGACGCGTTGACAATTTACGAAACTATGGGTGTGGGATTTTGTTCCTGTACACACCACAACAGCAATACGTGCAGCTAAATAACATTTTAATTAAATACTCAACTTCATAAAACTATATCTAATATAGCACCAACTTGATACACGTAGAAGTAACATACTAGTTAGGTAACTAGTAAGTAATCATATGCCTGGTCTCTCTATACATTTTTATGACACACGCGATTGGTGTTTGTCTAAATTAGAGACATGTTCGTATGAATGCGCACATTATTAATGCAAATCACAAACAATAAACGTAAATATTAATAATAATAACTCTAAAAAGATTACTAGATACATAAATAACTCATTTGTTTAGATAGTATGCAGATCCTGCTATTGACGCTGAGAGGGTCTATGTCCCTCAGGGTACTGCCGGAAAGTAACCCTGGGTACGGTCCGGTATACCGGAACGTACCCTGGTACCAGAGCATAAAAATCAACGTGATTTATATGCTCTGCTGGTACTATCTAATATGCCGGACCGTACCTCGCCTACTCCACTAACGAGTCTAGGGAGTCGCCTACGCCTACTCCCTAACCCTAACCATGCATATCAGATAGTTACCAGGGTACGTTCCGGCAGTACCCTGGGGGACATAGACCCTATGAGCGCTATGGACGTTCAATATGGGGATGCCTCCGGCTCATAGGGTCCATATCCCCCGGGGTACTGCCGGAACGTACCCTGGGTCCGGTCCGGTATACCGCAACGTACCCTGGTAACTATTTGATATGGTTAGGGTTAGGGTTAGGGTTAGGGCATAGGGTTAGGGTTAGGGAGTAGGCGTAGGCGACTTCCTAGACTCGTTCGTGGAGTAGGCGAGGTACGGTCCGGCATATTAGATAGTATACCAGGGTACGTTCCGGTATACCAGACCGTACCCAGGGTACGTTCCGGCAGTACCCTTGGGGACATAGACCCGCTCAACATTACTCAGTGTACTAACGCAAAAGCTGGCAATCAGACTCAAACTACATCTGCTAATACTAAATCAATATTATTATTTTAATATTATACAACCAATAACCATGAATATGGAAAGCGGTCCCCAAATGACAACAAATACATTCAGTACACATAATACATTAACAAGAAGCTTTCTCTTTACAAGTTAAACGAAGACAAATAGGCTATCATTGGAATATATATGCATTTGAATAACCGACTAAAGCCCATGGGACCGTTGCCAAAAACATCATAAGTAGCTATGACACCATAAGCCTAAAATTTCAAAATGTTTCACGTGAATTATAGTGCAAATATTATGACATTTGAGACTTGTGTTAGTCATAACTAATTATGTTTCAGACAACGGGCCCCAGTACTCTCGCGCTCTCTCCATATAGACATATATGACTCGTACCTAATCTAAAATTGTTGCATGTGCCCTGCAATATACGTATTATAACTAAAATTACTTTTCCAGGAAGCCAATATGCTGACCCCCCCCCCCCAAGGCTGCGTAACATTCGCGTTGATCTTTGCATCGAACTTTCAGGAACGCCAGCTATACTGGCGACAGAACAAATGAAGCAAAGGAACTCACTGAGAGGGTTTCATTGGCATATCTTTTATCTTTATTTATGATATATTATATCAAGCAACGAGCATAGTAAGACGTCATCCTTTTAAACATCGCAGAGTAGCACATCTTTTCCCGCATGCTGTTATAGCTCACGATCATATTGGCAAGCCATAGAAACCACATTACGGTGTTTAAATTGGCTTTCCAGTGCGAATTTCGATTTTTACATTAAACAAAAAAATTGCTGACATTCACAGAAAACTTAGATATCAATTTTGTAGCGAATTATTTCATTAAAAAATCAATAAAGGCCAGCTTATTCCTCCTCTTGGATGGCCAACATTTTCCCATAGAACCTCGCTTCGCACAGCTATAGTAACTAGAGCCTTCATACCAACGTACTGTATTAGTCCCATAGCTAGCTTTACTCGTAATATCCATAACATAGCATAGCCTTATGCATAATGTATAACGCCATGACGGAAGCCTACGTACATAAAATCAAGAGCGTATAAAGAAGGCAGATAAAGAATGCCTTCTTTATACGCCCTTGATAAAATCACAGGCACTTGGAGCGTTTCAATAAAATATAATGCTAAATAAATACGAAATCTATTTACTACCAAAGTCTTAATGTTTCTATACTTTCTTTCACCTATTATTGCCGACAATTTCCTGTAAATGCCGTCTAAATTCTCATCTGCATCAAACGCTGGCTGCCGCCATGGCTGCCGCTGCACACTGACACTTAAATATATAGTTTTTACTATATCTATGGCACATATCTATATATATGGCATATCTACATATGGTATATCTACATATCTATATA